CTCATAGTAAACCAGAAGTTTACTAATAATTTTAATGTTTGGCATGACCGGTTGAACCATCTCGGATCAATAATTATGTACAAAAATAATTAAAAATTTATATGATCAATCATTAAAAAATCAGAAGATTTTTCAATCTAATGAATTTTATGTGCTGCTTGCTCTGAAGGTAAATAAATTATAAGGCTATCACCAGCTAAAGTTGGGATTCAATTCCCTATGTATTTTAATAATATACAAGGTTATATATGGATTCATACATCCACCATGTGAACCATTTAGAAATTTTACGATTTTAATCGATGCATCGACTAGATGGTCACATGTGTGCTTATTATCAGCTTGCAATTTGGTATTTTCAATCATTCATTTGCAAGCACATTTTTTTAGTTAAATAATCAAGATTATTTGTCTTGACAATGCTGGTAGATTTATATATCAAGCCTTTAATATTGCATATTAGTTGGAATAACTATTAAACAACCTGTTGCTTATGTTTATACACAAAATGATCTAACAGAATCGTTTATTAAACACTTTCAACTAATTTCAAGGCCATTACTTATCAAATTCAAACTTCCAATGACTGCTTGGGGCCATGCCATTTTGGATGCTGCATCATTTATATGCATCAGGCCAAACGAGTTGTTATAAATTCTTCCTATACAATTAGTTTATGGTCAGGAACCAAATATTTTTCATCTAAGAATTTTTGGATGTGCGGTATATGTTCCAATTGTTCCACCACAATGCACAAAGATAGGTCCTCAAAGGAGGTTAGGAATATATGTTAGATATGAATCTCAATCTACAATTAAATATCTAGAACCTTCAACAGGAGATTTATTCACTACAAGATTTTCTGATTGTCATTTAGATGAAACAATTTTTCGAACATTAGGGGGAGAAAATACGCAGTTGGAAAAGGAAATATCTTGGAATACATTATCATTATCTAGTCTTGATTCTCGCACAAATCAATGTGAACAAAAAGTTCAAAAGAGAATTCATTTGTAGAATATAACAAATTAGTTTTCAGACTCATTTACTGACCTAAAAGAGTAACTAAATCTCATATATCAGTTACAAATGCTTTAATCAGAATTGATGTAGGACAATCTATTATTGTTAATGAGTCAAAGACAAGCCAGAAGCGTGGAAGACCAATTGGTTCCGAAGATAAAAATCCTTAAAAAAGAAAAGGAGCAAATATTAATGATGGTCAAAAAGAGGAAACAAAACTCCAAAAGAGACCCCTAACTTAATTCTAGAAGAAATTCAGATACCTAAAATTAGTGAAAATGAAGAGATCTTAATAAATTATGTCATGATGGGAAAAAGATGGAACTGAAATGAAATAAATATCGATGATATTTTTGCATATAATGTAGCGCTCAATATTATGAAAGAAATGAAGATCTTGAACCTACATTTGTTGAAGAATGTAGATATAGAAATGATTGGCTAATGTGGAAAGACACAATCAAAGTAGAATTAAATTCACTTGCAAAACATGAAGTTTTTTGACCTGTAGTCTGTATACCATATGGTGCAAAACCAGTGGGATATAAATGAGTATTTATGTAAAAACGAAATGAGAAAGATGAGATTGTGAGATATAAAGCATGGCTTGTCACATAAGGTTTTACCCAAAAACTGGGTATTGATTATGAAGAGACATATTCTCTTGTAGTAGATGCAATTACATTTTGATATTTAATTAGTCTGGCAATACATTGAAAGCTTGAAATGCATTTGATGGATGTAGTTACAGACTATTTATATGGCTCACTTGATAATGATATCTATATGAAGATCCCTAAAGGATTTAAGTTACCTGAAGCACAAAATTTGAATTCTCGAGAGATTTATTTGATCAAATTAAATAAATTTTTATATGGATTAAAATAATCCGGACGCATGTGGTATAATCACCTTAGTGAATATTTTTCGAAAAAAAGTTATAAAAATGATCTTATATGCCAATGTGTTTTTATAAAAAGATTCAGATATGAATTTTTGATAATTGCTATTGATGTTGATGATTTAAACATTATTGGAACTTTTGAAGAGTTATCAAAAGCCGTGGATTACTTAAAGAAACAATTTGAGATGAAAGACCTTGAGAAAACAAAGTTTTGTTTGGGACTTTAGATTGAACACTTGACAAATAAAATTTTGTCCATCAATCTAATTACATAGCAAAGGTGTTAAAATGATTTTATATGGACAAAGCACATCCATTGAGTTCACCAATGGTTGTAAGATCATTAGATGTGAAAAAAGACCCTTTCCAATCTCATGAGGATAATGAAGAACTTCTTAGTTTTGAAGTACCATATCTTAGTGCAATTAGAGCATTGATGTATCTTGCTAGCAATACTCAACCTCATATATTATTTGCTGTGAATTTATTAGTAAGATGTAGTTCTTTTCTAACTCGAAGACATTGGAATGGAATTAAACATATATTTCGATATCTCTAAGGAATAATAGATATGGGCTTATACTATTTAAATGCATCAAAATCAGATTTAATCGGTTATGCAGATGCAGGATATTTATCGGATCCACACAAAGCTCGATCCCAGACAGGTTATGTATTCACATATGGAGGTACAACTATTTCATGGCATTCTGTAAAACAAACTATAGTTGCTACTTCTTCTAACCATGCGGAAATTTTAGCAATTCATGAGGCAAGTAATGAATGTGTTTGGTTAAGATCAGTAACTGAACATATTCAAGAAACGTGTAGTTTGCTAACTAAGAAAGAAATTCCAACAATATTATATGAGGATAATACTGCTTGCATAGTACAGTTAAAGGAATGATACATTAAAGGTGATCGAACAAAACATATTTTGTCAAAATTCTTTTTCACTCATGATCTCCAAGAAAAGGGTGAAATAAGTGTTCAACAAATTCAACTAAGTGACAATCTAGCATATTTGTTCACTAAAGCCCTTTTTACTACAACATTTGAAAAGTTGAAATGCATTATTTTAAAGATCTCTATAATGCAGTCATCAAGGGGAGTAAAATACGCACTGTACTCTTTTTCTTCATTAAGGTTTTTTCCACTAGGTTTTTCTTGATAACGTTTTTAATGAGGTAGTATTTCAAAAGCATATTTTTGAAAAGATTGTGTACTTTTTTTCCTTCACTTGAATTTTTTCCCTTGAGGTTTTTTCCTTGTAAGGTTTTAACGAGGCATATTCTTAATACAGTGGATATTCAAGGGAAAGTATTATAAATATTTTTGTGAATATCCATTCATGTTATCTATATCTAGATTTGATGTAAATTAGATTAAATTATGGTTTAATCCATCTAATCTCTAAGTGTTATCTTCATCTTGTAAAAGGGTTATTTGCTTATAAATAGGCCCCCTTAGTTCATTTGTATACACACTTCAATAAGATTTTTTCTCTCCCCCTAAATACTTTTTTCCCTCTAAATATTTTCTCTTATACTTTCTCTTATAGTTGTTCTTTTATATTTATTTCATAACAAGATTCAAGTTTTACTCTAATTTTATATTGATTGTTATATAATATGGAATAAAACAGCAAATTGCATCATTCTAGATAAAAAAATTATCAAATTATTTGCTAAAAGATACGTGAGAATTCCAACTGGTGGAGAAGAAATGATATACAACCTCCAAGAGAGGTTTTCGTAATTAATGGCCATCCAATTGACACACTAATTGGCTTCACGATGAATGTTAGTGAGGAAACGGTCCCAATCTTA